AAGTTTTGTTGCAATCTTCATCATACACACCTGCTATCGGTATGCACTGTCAATACGTTCTTGCAATTTCAGAAGCTTCTTGTTTGGACACAATGGATCATTTTCATTTGACACCAATAAGTTGCTGTATGTTTAGAAGATAGGATTTGATAAGAATTATCTAATCCTGAATATTTGTTCTTGAATCTCGACGACTGTGGCAGCTAGTTTTCTACTTGTCCTAATAAACTTATTAATCTAAGTACATAGCTGAGCTGTATGTTCCGTGTTTTTTGATATTTTACGCTGGAAAAACAATCTAACTTTCTTGAAATGTTTTCTGTTAATTTTGAGGGTAAACCTTGGCTCTTTGAGGGTACTATACCCTTGAATGATTTCTATGAAAGTTGTGTGAAAGAAAACAGGAGAGTGACAGGAATTGCCTTGGACCAAGTTCACCATGCTAACACATGCCTCAAAGTATTGACTTCAAAACTGCTGGCTTGATTCAATAGTAAAACTAGAGAGAAGACTTACCGTTGTTCTCCTGCTAGAAACTTCGTATTTCCTTAGGTGTTGTCCATATTTGTCTAGCATGATAGATGTATGTACAAAAGAAACTTTGGGTTACTAGAAAATTGTTGACCGATATAACTTGTTTTTTTTTCATTCTTAAAATTATCATATGTTTATTCGGTATTAGTCTACTTCACATGCTTGGGTTTGTCAATTTGTTTTTTTTTTCCACTGCATTTGTGAGATTGCTTTATTTTGGATCTTTAATAGGTTCTTCCATGATCTATCCAAAAAAGTATATCTCTTTGAACTGGTGTTGTTTAGAAGTTCTCAGTCTTAAGCTTGATGGACTTAATTTTGAAATTGCTCAATGCGTCAGAGAACTCTTGGATAAACTTTCATGTTTGTTTTGTTGGTTAAGTAATCTGTTTCTTGACTCATGAGTCATGAGAATAAGGTCAACAAATGATAGCAGAAACAGCCAACTATTGTTATACATAGTTGTTTATTTTGAATAGTATTTTGATATTTCATAATCTTGCTTATATCCTCTTTTTCTTTACTATCAGCTGCTTTAACATATTTATGAATGAACACAGATATGTGGGCAGTTGGTGCTGTACTTGCTGAACTTTTCACTCTTTGCCCAATTTTCCCTGGTGAAAGGTGATTTCATATCCCAGATTGTCTTACATGAAAAAGATCTACTATCTTCTTCTAGCTTGGAACCTAGACTGCTTTGACCTCAAATGGAACTGACAGTTGGATGATATAGTTATTTCCAAGAGCTTGGGGAACATATTGTCCGGATTCTGTGGAAAATTGAAACTTGACTCGTATCTGTCTTAAGTTGAATTATTTGGAGAACTACTTCTTTGAGAATAATCTTTTTTTCTTTGTCCAGTGAAATTGATCAGTTGTATAAGATATGCTGTATTCTTGGACCGCCAGACTGGACTAGCTTCCCAGAACTGAAAAGTGCTTCACGGTTGTTTGATTTTAGTTGTCTTGATGTAAGTCCAGCATGAACTTCTTGTTAGTTTCCTCCAATTTCTTTTGACCTTTATCACGGACATGCAAATGATCATGTATTCAGTTCTTTTATTATCTTCTTTTGTTTCTGATAGATTAAACCAGCCAATCTGTCTGATGTCATTCCAAGTGCTAGCTTGGAAGCTATCGATTTGATCAAGGTATTGTTATAGCTGCTTCTTTACATTGTTGACATATATTATGCACGAAATAGGAAATGGTTTTAGCTGATCAATCCCTCCCTTCCTGCCATAGCAACTCTGTTCGTGGGACCCATTGAGGAGACCAACTGCTGACCAATGCTTGCAGCACCCATTTTTTCATGTAAACTATTTTCTGTCATTTGTTGTTTGCTTCAACTAATAATTGTAATTGGCATCCTTCCGTAGAGATTTGAATAATTGGCCACTTGCTAATGAATAGGTTGATATGTGGATTCCTCGTTCTCTAGGGGATCCATTGCAGATGGATTTGAGTAATGTTGGTAAGAACTCGTAAAGTACTTTTAGCATGTGTCGTTATTCGCTTTTAGTCATGAAGCTAGCCTGTTGTGCAGGACCTGAGCCTAATCTTGAGTTGAACCTGTGGGATTTTGGGACAGAAAAGGATGACTGCTATCTTGGTTTGACTTTGGCTGTGAACCCGAGTCCCTCTTGCCTGGGTATGAATTTTTAAGTTTTTGATTATTTCACCATGCATCATGCTTCCTATTTTCGTCTCCTGTGGTAATATATATGTAAACCCACTTTAGATTGCAATACACAATTGTCTATGGTTCAATTTGTTGCAACAATCAAAGAACTGTTGCAACAATTGCTTTTTGTTCATGCAAATTGTGGCTCTCGTAACAACTGACATGTTTGTCCTAATGTCTTCCTCTATCTTGTTTCGTAGAAGTAATACCTATGCCGCTGTATCCACCAAAATGGAAATCTATATTCTTGATATGGTGGTAATCCAAGTGTAAACACGCCTCAAATATGCCCAGGGAAACAGAGTTCTAAAGACAGCATGCCTGACACTTAGATCTTACATATGAATCACTCTTAACGCAAAAAACCATTTATTCATAGTATCACTTTTGTTTTAAGAACATGAGACAAACGTCCTTGCCTGATATATGTCTTGCTTTAATTTTTCAAGTTATTGTTTTGTTGTTGTAAGATCTCGTTTTCTGTGGCAGCTTTCTGAAACAATTTACCTTTACCTCATTATGTAGATCTATTTCCTGCAAAGATGGCAAGTAAAAGTCAAGGTACAGGAACGGTGAGTTGTCTCATGTTTTTTTTTTCTTTTTAGATTTGGGTCACTGTTTTCAGAGATTTCTATTCATAAGACTTCTGATTTGCCTTGCCTATATTCTTCTAAAATGGTTTTGGTAACATTGGCAGGATATGCTGTTCTGCCCTGGTTACCAGGATCACTCACAACAATCAGGTAGCTCATATACTTTTCCTTTTGGTGTAATATGTTGTTGTATTAACCGTTTCTGCAATTTTATAGGACTTCTTTTTCTTTTTGTTCTGGGGTGGGTGGGTTCTATAATTGCCTTGTGTTAGACTCTCGAAACCTAGAATACTGAAAGGTTTGACAGGCATATTATGTTCTTTCTGGGTATTTTATATAGTTAGTTGAAATCTTCATCTTCTATATTATTATCTAGAGATGGTCATGGCTTGTGTTGATTACTCCTTTTCAGTTTTCTGGTCATTGTTTCCTCCTGATCACCAAATATCTACTCCAGTGGACTCCTCATTGTCATTATCATTCAGGTCAGTATCTTTCTATCAAATTTCTTTCTGTTAATGGCATAAGTTTTGGTGGGTTGTTGGGTAATGTATCCCCTGTGGAGAACAGAAACGGAATCATCCTGCTACCCAGTTTCGCTGAGTTGTTGAGTAATATGTTCCCCTGTGGAGAACAGAAATGGAATCATCCTGCTAACCAGTTTCTGTAACAAATTTCTCTACCCTGAATTTCACTAAACATCTGAACCATTATAATGTCTTTACTCAAATTAGAGATTGAACGTAACTTAATCTTCCAACTCTCCGCTCCCCTCTGCTAAACAGGTAGCCTCCAAAACATGTCCTCGGAAAACAAACACCTAAAAGACTCTAGTGTGTCACTTTGCAAGTCAGTAACAGGGAATGCAAGTGGGCGCATCTGTTTTATAATAGTTTATTTTTGCATGAAACTATTAATTGAAGCTGCTTGTGGAATGATGTCTTATATTTTATTATATTAGTGTGTTTAATATAGTAAATTGAACTCAACTGTTAATCATTATGACAGCGTGAAAGTAAAATTCGCTTTATTTTTTCTCTGCAGCACAATTCCACACTCAAATATTGGAGTTCCACAATCAACTGGTTTTGGCATGACATCTTTGCCGTCTAACTTCTTGGAGCGACCATTTCTGGCTATGTCATCCTCCTTCCAGCAGAGACAATGCCTTTGAGCTACCAATTCAGCTGGCTGACTCGAGTAAATAAGAGATTAGTAGGAATTACTTGTAATTTGTAAATGTCATTATCATCATAGATTAATATTTATTCACGAGGACTATGATAAGTCGAGAAGCCCTTCTTTCATTCTCGGAAGATTTTCTTCTAAAGATGAAGAGTGACCCACGCCCCTTTTACGTGGCATAGTTGGTGTCCTTGTGGGAACATCTCTGTAGGAGATGAGCGAAAGAACTGTTGTAATTATTAGACAATCATAAACGGGGAGAAAGATAGAACTTGCATTATTTCATAGATTTTTTTTATAGAAGTATCTCTACCCTTTCTCGAAGTAATTTACAAATCCCTCTTATCTAACAATGTCACATGTCATTTTATTGTGTTCTGTTATTTGTTTTGTGTTACTTAGATTGATTGAAGGGGAGCCTTGCGTAACCGGTGAAGTTGTTGCCATGTGATCAAGAGGTCACGGGTTCGAGTTTAGTCCATTGGACTGCTCTTAGATCCATTTTGAGTTTAACGCAAGGGTAAATTTGTTTATTCTTTTATTTTAGTTTCAAAGTGAGAACATGTTATCCAGGTGTCTTTTTTTTTTCCTTCTACAATATCAAAGTGTCCAACTTCATTATTCCCTTTGCTTCAATTTAAATAACACATTTCCTTATTAGTTTGTTCCAAAAAAATAACGTATTTATATATTTGGAAATAATTTAACTCTAAATTTTTTATTTTACCTACTTTACTCTTAATGATAAGCTTTTATAATCAAAAATAGCATGGTCCCAAAAAGCTTTTAGAACCACATATATTAAAAATGTCTTTTTTTTCTCAAATTTTATGCTGAGTTAAACTATATCCGCATAATAAAGCTGGAGTTTGAAAAACATAATCTCATGACAATTAACCATAATCAGTAGGCACATGGCAGAGAGTGTTTTTTTATATATATATATATATATATATATATATATATATATATATATATATAGGGTGTGGAGTTTTAAAAACCCAAAAAATCACAGAAGTATTCACTTGACTTGAGTTATTCAAAGTTCCAACAAAAATGGTGGAGAAATTCTTACCTGTTGGACGATTCCATAGTCTTCGCAGTAGTGACCCAGTTCTCCTCCTATCTGGTCCACTTTCATCCGGAAAAACGTCTTTACTTTTCCAGTTCGCTATTAACTCAGCAACAGAGAGTAGGGAGGGTAATGTAGTCTTCATTTGCAACCGTCGTAAGTTGGAAACAAAACCCCCGTATCTTGCTGAACGAATTGATCCATCCTCTGATATTTTTGAACGTATACAGATGAAGTATATAGAGGACGAAGAAGGAATTAAGAAATACTTTGCTGCATTTCATATACATGATAATCCTGCTCCAATTTCAGTTATTATTGATGATTTTGCTGATTTTTTTAATGAAGGAAAATGCCAAGAGAAATACAACAATAATCGAGGAAAAGATTTTGCTATGGTTCGAGTATTAGCACTATGTAAAAATGCAATTATGTATGCTAATCAAAAGGGGCCATTGCCATGTCAGCTTCTACTCTCTGATACTCATTATAATGGAGATTCCCCGAGATTGCTATATATTTACAAAAGATGGGTTTCCTCTATTTACACAATTAAAGCGGATGGTTTTGGATCATATCTTATTAGGAGTAGCAGTAACAATTTTGCAAGGGCAAAAACTGCAAAATATTCCATTGCTCTTCAGTATTTGGTATTGGAAGGTACTACTGAAGACGAAGAGCAATCGGTTGAATGAGTATTTTAGGTTTATCATTATTATTGTGCAACATTCCCCTTTTGTAATGACCCAACTATGGTTCTTTCCCTTTTGCAGCTTACTGCTCCTTGTATGTCTCCTACTTTAAGTTAATATAATGTTCGCTTCAAAAAAACATATAAGAGTTAGTCGAATGTTTCCCTTTGTCTTACTCAGTTCGCTAGCATTAGTATTAGTATGATATCGTTTTATTCATAGATTATTACTACCTAGAGTTTAACTGCTTTCTTAGATTCGGTCTTATTTATCTTATTGTTGTCCCTACTTTTTCATTCTTTCTCCGGCCGAGGGTCTATCGGAAACAGTCTCTCTGCCCTTCTATGGTAGGGTTAAGGCTGTGTACATCTTACCCTCCCCAGACCCCACTTGTGGGAAATCACTGGTTTTTTTTTTTTTTTTTTTTTGTTGTTGTATGTATGTATGTATTCACATTTCTTGCATAATTTTCCTTATGTATGTTTGTAAAGTATAGTTCTTTTTAAACTCAGATAAAGAATGCAGTGTTGCAGTAGGTTGACAGTTAGGTAAAAATAATTCTACTCATATAATCTTCAATATTGTTTTATATGGTGGTGTTGTTTTATGTTATATGGAGGTGTTTGATTGGGCATAGAGTTTAAGAAGAAAGAAAGACTACTGTCATGTACCAAAAGTACCTTTTGAACTTGAAGTTGTGATACTAACATGCCATGACATTTTTGCGGTTATAACAACATGTCATTAAAATAAAAATTGGAAGTTCGGAAGTTTAGAGCTAACGAGCATCCAAAGGTAATGAAATGTTGTTCTTTTTGGAACAAACTAGAAAGAAGAGTGTCCTTACACTGGAGCAGACGGAGTAATTCATTGGAATTGATTTTGAACTAAGACATAGTTGATTGATTGATTCTCGTGTCTTCCATAAATTTTGTTTATTTAAAGAACTACACTCTCTGTACTGGAAAAAGTAAAAACTGAAAATGATTGAATTTTTGGTACTTGAGAAGAATCATCTTGAACAAAACTTCCCTGAAAATGCACTAGGCTCGCCAACTTTTCTCAGGTATTTACTGTTCCTGTTTTTCCTATGAAGATGGACCCTCTACAGGCTGCCGCTCTCTCTTTCTGTGTGTGGGTACATGCATGTAATACTAGTGGTTGGAAATTGGAATGTGTGCAGTGGCGGTGATCATTTTGGATCAGAAGTGGAGAATAAAGAAGTTGGAATAGGTTCTATGGATTTGGAGGAATTCGTTTGAGCTTCTTTAAATTCTATGGATGAGGTTCTAAAAAGCGTTTAAGGAATGTATATATGGAAGCTCTCAAGAGCTATGATGAACTGAAGTTTCACAAGGACCATTTGAAGGAAGCCAAAAATAAAACCTTGAGGTACCGTGATTTGTATGCATTTAATTTATATTTTAGCTCTTTTTCTCTGGAGGAATAAGTAACTATATATACTAATTTAATAATGCTCCTCAAATGGTTTAACTTATTTATTTAAGGAATGTTTGTCTTGGGTTACTTATAAGTACTATGCATCTGTTGTCGTACACATAATAAATGAACACCTGCAGGTACTCCCCCCAGATCACGGATTGAGGAGGTAGGTGGCACGAAAATGAGCGATTACAATATACCAAAAAAGATGACACTCCTGTTGATTGGTCCGAGAGGATCTGGAAAAAGCAGTCTTGTTAACAAGATCTCGATGGTGTTTGAGGATGATCCTTTTACACCAGAAATGGCTCCAGTATCGTATATGTTCTCTTTCTCCTTTCTCATGTAAGAAGTGAAACTCTGATAAAAGTTGATAAGGAAGAATGCGATTACCATGTCTTCTTTGTTTGTCCTAGACTAACATAATTAGGTTGTTTGTTTCTTTAAGTTTTAGTTGTCAGATAATTAACATGTCATAACAGCTTCATCATTCTTGAATCTGTGGGTTACCATATTCTTCTGTTGGAGATGAGACATATTTTCTCCAAGAGTACATGATACTACCAAGAGGTTCAGTTCTTTCTGTTTGTATGACACACGTAGTTTTTCAGATGATTTGACTGAAAATAAGAAAATGGTGAAGCACTGGATGACAAAGGGTGATCGTCATGGGGAAGTGAGGGAACTAATAATGAGGTCTATATGATTATTTTTGAATTTCCTCAAACAAAACCTTGGTTGGGGTTACCCGGACTTTCTGAAATTTTCCTTTTGGCAGGGATTCTGATAAAATCCAAAATGAAGTCTAAAAGCTCGCCAAAATAGTTGTCGTAGTGACGATGAAACAGAGAGGTACCAAACTCAAGCTGTTGCTACAACTTTCAACAGCCCTCTCTTGTCACTCAAAGGTATTAGTTCACTTTCTTTGAACTTTGTTATCACTTCAATCTGTGTTTTAGCCTTTTAAGAGTAGTGTAGTTGATCAAATATTATATGCATTTTGTGAGTACTAAAAAACTGTGTAGATAGAAACAAAATTATAATTGTTCTCCTAGATAATGATTAGTGTTAATTGAAGCTTCCTTGATCAGAATATGTGGGAGTTCATCTTGGATTTACAAAATAACATCGATAGTAATAAGAAAAAAAAGAGGAAATCATTAGCTCATTCAATAACAAGCGTCAGATTGATACTAAGTTTATCACATGTTTCAGTATTTATCATCCCATTTTCTCTTTCTCGTTGTTGGAGCATAGTAAGGCACTTTTAATTTGCTTATTCTCGCCGTCTCAGATGACAAGCCTGTTGTTGTGCTCAGACATGGTGATTTACTTTCACCTTCTGATTGTACGCGCATCCGCATGTATTTGGGACAACTGCTGGGTATTCATCCGAAGAGACAAAATTTTGACATCCCTGGTGGCATCAAGATAAGTTACCCTGCTATTACATGAATTTGTTTAAGTCGAACAAACTCTAATTTTTTTCTCCGTATTCCCCTTAACCCCCCCCCCCCCCCCCTTTCCTTTTCTTCTTCTTCTTTGTTCTTATATTTTCGAGCTGTGGAAACAGCCTCTTGTAGAAATGTAGGGTAAGATTGCGTACAATAGACCCTTGTGGTCCGGCCCTTCCCCGGACCCCGCGCATAGCGGGAGCTTAGTGCACCGGATGATTTAGGAATTAAGATGCCTATACCCAACATGCTTCGTTATTGGCTTGAGCACGCTGATAAATACCTACCCTTCAAAAAAGACCTACCTGTCAAAGGCCCATTTAGCAGCAAAGGTGAGATTATTGTTAGAGGAACTGAACGTACATGGTTAATTCTTGTTTTAGGTAGTTTCACTTCTTTGTTAGGGACTTTTTAAACTTCCTTTGTCTGTATAGACTGGTTAAAACTTGTACGGCGTACATGCCATCATCATCATCATCATGGTTGCACCATAGGTTGATGGACATTTCCTAGATCCTATAGTCAGTCAACATTTCATCCTTCTAGCTACAGTCTCTTGGAACTATCAATTTATTTAAATATTGAAGCAGTAATGCATAATTTTACACTGCCTTTGATGTTGGGCATTTTTCACTTGTATGCTTTGCTTCTTGGCAGAGATCTAGGGTGTCACATGTTCGGGTTGTGTCATCTATTATTTGACAAGATTCTGTAATGCTTAGCTATGTAGCCCAGTCTGTTGCTGTTCCTATTTTGCCACTTAGATGAATGCCACCCGCCTAACCTGTTAATGCAACTATGGTTGATCCTGTGTTCGAATTTTACAGGCATCGCAATCACACATAAACATAGGCCGGAATGCAACTACTGTTGGTCCTGTACCCAATCTTCAGCCTGAGGTACTGCAATCACATGTAAACATAAGCGGTCATGCAAATGGTGTTGATTATGTTCACGATCTTCACAATGAGGCGTCGCAATTTGGAGTGCAATTCGACACTTATTGTGTGGGGATGTTCACTGATGAACTCGGATGTAATGAGGTTGATGCATTTGTATATAGCTGTTATGTTCCGCAAATGCAACGTTCTCTTTGTATAAACGGCAGAAGTAGAACACTCTTCTTGCATGTATAGGACCTTTCAGCAATAAAACTCTTATATAATAGGACAAGTGACATTCATTTGTAGAGTTGATCGTTACGAGCAGCGGTGGAGCCAAGATTTTTACTATGGGGTTCAAAATATAAAGTAAACACATGATGAACAGAGGCGGATCCAAAATTTGAAGTTTATGGGTTCCTATAACGATCTTGTTAGTATACTGTATTTGTAAAATAATTCTGGAAATATAAATGAATATAAACAGAAATGAACATAAACAGAAATGACAGAAAACCAATTTGAGCCCACTGAATTCACAGTGTTTCCTTAAGGAATTTAATCCCCTCCTAGTACCCAAGGTTATGGATTATTTCCTCCCAGGATAGAACGAATTACACACTATGTAGTGGTACTGCAAACCCCAGTGTTTCAGCGAACACAAAGTTCGGAAGCAAATCACACTTACTTTTTCTTTGTTTGATGCTAAAAGTATGCAGAAGAAGGAGAAACTCAGAAAATCGTAGTGAAATTCTGAGCAGAATAGTGTTGTATTAATAGCCAAAGTTGGGCTGAAATCTGAAGAGGTGCAACTCTTCAAAATAACCGTTTATGCAAAACGGCCACAGCATAAATGCCATTACATAAATGGTCATTTACTCAACAATAAAGAGAGAAAATTGAAGGGTAGTTAACCGAAGCCGAGCCGAGCAACGACGACGGTGCGAGGCTTGCCTTCTTCTCAACTCTTTAAGAGCTAGAAGAAGAGCAATTGCTTATATACCCACAAAAAACCTCTTCCTCTTCCAATATGGGACAATGTCCATTTACCAAGGGGGGAAACTTAAAATTTCACTCAAAAATTTCATTTCCCTCAATTTCCCATTCACCCTCTTTTAAGTATTTAATATATTAATTAAATACATAAAAAACCCAACAGATCTCGAGTTATATATACAATAATAATTGGGCTCCTAGTCAAATATTTATTGATTTTAGTAATTTTTTTAAATATAAATACAGGATTTGGGCAAAAATTACTGGGTTTACGGGAACCCATCTATATCTATCTATACTATATTAAAAGCGCGAAGCCCCTTAGTGAAATGTTATTCGCCTTTTTTACCCTTTAAATTTAAATTTTACATAGGACAAAATTATAATTTATGTTACTTTCCTAATATTTAGGAATTTAAAATCAACTAAAAATTTATTATTAAGTCTTTCCTTATTAAACTAGGTAGTAGTCCTAATATTTAGAACTTTAAAATTGATATTATACCTTATATAAATTATACTAATTCAAAACAGATTTATATATACAACATTTAGGATGCTTAACTTGATAAGCATTGTTTACTAGATCATCACCATTGAGAAAAAAAATCTTATTGTAATTATACAAAATAATTTATATATGTGCAATTAAGACCCCAAAATAATCGATTCATATGCATTAATATTTTGTGTTTTTTAAAAAATCTTTGAAAATTTGCAATAAAAGTATAGCTAATTAACTTTATTTGTGCCTCCTCGAATAGATTTGAGAATAACTTTTCAAAAATATCATTAGAATTTTTTGTAAATTTTTAAGGGCGATGTGTTCTTGCCGAAACTTTAAAAAAATATGATAACTTGTGAAATTAAATTGATAAAATTATGACATTAGAACAAAGTTTAAACTGAATTTGAGAGAAAGTCTCTTCCTTTATTAAGTTAGTTATATATGATCAATATTCATCAATTTTAGGAGCTTTTATTTTTATTTTATTACTCAAATACAATTTTTGAACAATATTTATGTAACTTTTAACCAAAACTACTCATTAAGATGAGAAACGCGCAAAGTATAAGTCGAGAGGAACTCAAAAAGATTTTGGTGATTTTTTCATTTTGCTGTAAATTGGTGAAATAACTAACATTTGTTGATACAATATTTTAATAGAAAAATTATTGACAATTTTAAATAAATTAACCAAAAAGGTGGCATTCATTCCATTTTAGTAAAATTCAGTAATATGTGAATAATATAGTGAAGTATTGGGGAACTTTTTGAGGTAATTTTCTTTTTCTTTGTTGAGTTAGTTAAATAATATTATCATGTTCAGGGACTTGATTTTTTTCTATTAATTTATTTTTTATAACTCAAAACATTCTTTATTAATATATGATTTTTAAAAAGTTTATATACATTAAATAAAAGAACACGCGCAACGCGCGTACTCTAAGAATAAGTAAAAGCACAAATGCCCTTAGAGAAATATTGTTCGCCTTTTTTATTCTTTAAATACTAGATAAAATAGTCATTTAACTATTTTTCTAATATTTAGGAGTTCAAAATCAACTGAATTTTAAAAAAAAAATTATTTCCTTATTTATACTACATAAAAGTTCCTAATATTTAGAACTTCAAATTCAATTTAAATTTACCTTACTTCAATTATTTCCTTAAACCAACATTATATCCTTGTGGACTATAAACTTGCTTTTGGAGTTTAATGTGTATTCTTAGCCTCTGATATATATAATTGTTAGTATCTTTTCTCTTGCAAATGATTTCAATAATTGATTACCTAAAAGAAATCACCAATGAATGTTAATTTTTTTCTTTTTCTTTTTAAAGAGTTTTGATTTAACTTTAGATTTAAATTTTTAGAAGTCATAATTACCAGTGGTAATGTTAATTTTAAAACTAAATATTCTACATTCATACTATGTAAAATTGTAACTATAGATCGTATTTACACTTTAAATAAACTAATATACTTGAAACTTTGAAATAACTATAGATTTAAAAAATTGTCCTCAGTGAAGTTGATTTTGAAATTTCAAAATTGTCAATAGTATAGTTTATTCGGAATGAGCTTAAGGTAATGTTAACTTTTATTTGGTCTTGGATGAATATGTATAGAAGGAATTTAGACTTATATCAATAAAAATCTAGCCAATAGTTTGGTTCACTTATCGTATTTATAAGTTTGATGACCTTTAAATGAAGAAATAAACTTTTTATGTACTTAAGTTACAAAGAACAAATTTCACATGCTAAAAATAGATATAAAAATATTTAAATAATTTTTTTTAATGTTAGACTCAACTCAAGAAAAGAAAAAAAGAAAAAAAGAAAAAACGAAAAGAGCAGAACACGTTTTTAAACTTTTAATATCTTTTGTTATAAAGTAGCTTAACCTCATTTTTCTACATAAAATATTTATTTTATAATCTTGATAAATTAAAATTAGATTTTGTTTATGTATTGTCCAAAAAAATAGAAAACGGATTTATTCCGTACACGATGATTAGCATAAAGTTTTTATACTTTATTTATACCAACTGAAAGACTATGAAAAAATCACTTTGTCCAAAATTGATAATTAATTAAGTAATAACTAATTTATTATTAATTTATATTATGATATTATGAATATAAATTTAGTAAAAAAGATTTTGCGTGAGATATAACAACATAACATATTTTATATTTTATACAATAGTGGTAATAAAATCTCTAAACTCCAAATACTACATAACTAATTCAACTAAATTCATCAGCTTTATATATTTCGAAGATATTGAATTCAACTATTGTATTAATATAGCAACAATTATTTTATCGTATTTAGTTTAACATCAATTGCCATTTTTTAATAATTTATTCTTTTTACACGTTTTATACTAATTGACGCGATGTACACGCAAATACACTAAACAAGTAACCTTAAAATTGGATATGCCCCTTATGATGAAGTCAAGGAATTTCAATAGTAACTATATATAGATAAAAGATAATTTTGACGTTATATTTATACAACGTTCCTTTAACTCCACCCATGAGTGGTTTTCCTAGTATTTATGTAATTGGAGTATAAAATTATTGGCATACAGCTGACTGGATTTTCATCTCATTAAATCAAGTTGGTAAAAATAATTAAATTAAAGAAAATCTGAAGAGCAGTTCAAAGGACGAAACATGTCCAACCTCATTAATTGTATCCAACTAAAACGTTACGTCATTAATTAGAGAAAGCATAATAGTACTGGAGACCCCAAGAACCAATCAACTACAGTCAAATCATATGACACGTGGCAGCAGCCCATGATAATCATCGAGCACATGTCACCCTGCTTCAAAACCTTCTTTTTGCTTCTTCAACTTCAACTCTTCTTTGCTAATAAGTACTCCATTGTTAAACTTTCAAATACCTAAATAACAGAAGAGTGAGCAGCTATGGGTGGAGATACTACAACCCTTGATTCCCCTCTCATCTATTCCACTGGTACATTTTATGATTTTTTTTTTTTTTTAATGTAATCGGTATTCACATTTCTTGCATAATTTTCCTATGCATGTTTGTAAAGTATAGTCCTTTTAAAATTGCAGTAGGTTGACTGTTAGTCTCAGGTAAATAATAAAAGTAGTTCTTCTCATAGTTGATTAAATCGATTGATTAATTTATATCTTGCATAAATTTTTTTTTTAAATGTAGACTCAATATACTGACAACACTGAAAAAGATTGAATTTTTGGTACTTGCAGAAGAATCATCTCTTGATCGAAACTTCCCTAAAAATTCACTAAGCTCGCGAACTTTTCTCAGGTATTTACTGTAACCTGGTTCTTGATTTTCTACAAATTTTGACTCTCTACAGAGTGTGTGTGTGTGTGTGTGTGTGTGTGTGTGTGTGTTCATGTTTGTAATACTACTGGTTGGTTATTGGAATGTGTGCAGTGGTGGTGATCATTTTGGCTCAAAAGTGGAGAATGGAAAAGCTGGACTAGGTTTTATGGATTCTGAGAAATTGGTTCGAGCTTCTTCAGTTTCCATGGATGAGGTCAATCGAAAGCGGGAAAGGAATGTGTATATGGATGTTCTCAAGAGCTATGATGAACTGCAACTTCATAAAGACCGTTTGAAGGAAGCCAAAAGTAAAATCTCGAGGTACTGTAATTTTTGTTTGCTATTTTTGTTCTTTTACTCTAGGGGATAAGTAACTAGATATGATAATTTAACAATGCTCCTCGTATTCGTTCTACTTATTTATTGGTTGGGTGCTATTTGATTCATGGCCTTGTTTGATTTCTCCTCCTCTGTGTCAAGATGTTTGGATTAAATGTTACATTTTCTGTTTTGATACTGGATAATCTGCTAAGCGTCAGAAAGTAGGAATTTGGGTTTTGAACTAGGAAAAATTATCCAGGACCTTTGTCCCAAGTTTTAACTGAATCCTTTTTCCAGTTGTGAGGTGGAAAGTATTGGGTCTCACCCTTTATGAAACCTTGTGTTACCTATGCCACATACTTGACACCATCCTCCTTAAAAACCTTGGTCCCGATAATCCATGCTCCGTGCTAAAAGAAATTTTCCGTTAAGGTGGTAAATAGTGTGCTCCATGTCCTATCTAAGTTCAGCATTTGTCAAAAGATTCCATTTAACCCTAATATTTACTGACCTTTGTTTGACTAGCATCACTATTTATTGGTTAATCAAGTCCTTTATTTTCACCGTGAGTTCAGTGTTTGTGCATTGTAATAAGGATGCTCTGCAAGCATCATAATACCATATGCATATAGAACCAGAATTAAATTCTGAAACATAGTCCTGAGAGATCCTCTTCCTCTGTGGGATTCCACAGGTAGTGTGACTTTTAAGGTTAGGAACGGAATTTTGCAATGCTAGAGCCCTTCTAGATAATGACTTCGCTGTCAAATAAAATGCTGCGTATATTTCAATTTGACATATAACCTATTTTCCACAATTTTCCCAGCTTTTTCTGGTCCCATGTTCACATGACAAGTTTATGCATCTAAGACACACTTGAGGCCCTTACTTAGAGACATTTAACGTCCACGGAAGGACGACTACTTTTGAGATATTTCACTTTTCCTCTTCTGCAGCATAGATCTTAGTCTTAGAACTATCATTTCTCTATGTACAATGCTCACTCTTTACTCCTTTCCGATGTTTAGGTTATTTTCATGCTTGCTCTATTTGGTAGTTGTAGCTCCCCTTCTTTAATCACTGCTCTCATTCTGCTGCTTTAAGGCGTTTATGCTCAACTAAAATGAGCATCAAGTTTATTGGCTGTGCAAGCTATTTGCTATGGTGTAGGAGTAACATAATGAACAGATTGTTTACATTAGCTTAAATGTTATTGAGGTGCTCAACACACACTGATGATGTCTTTAACCATGGCGCTGGAAAAGCTAATTGAGTCTAGTTTATCTATGTAGATATAGTTCAGCTTGTTTTGCAACTACTGTTCATTAATTTGACGGCCTAGAGCCAGCTGCATTTAGATTAGTGCCGTGTGATGAAATATCTTACCATTTCTTTCACATTAGCTAGTTGTATTTTTGCATAACCTCATCTTATTTTCATTCTGGAAGTTATGTATTCAGTTTCTCAACTGTACATGGTAGAATCTATTGTAGCATATCATATTGTTCTTTGTCTTGTTTACTTGTAACTATTATGCATCTGTTGAGATACATTGTAAATGACCACTGCAGTTACACCCCTGGATCATGGATTGAGGAGGTGGGTGGCGTGAAAAAGAGCGATTATAATATACCAAAAAAGATGACACTCTTGTTGATTGGTCCAAAAGCATCTGGAAAAAGCAGTCTTGTTAACAAGATCTCGATGGCGCTTGAGGATGATCCTTTTACACCACAAAGGGCTCCAATATCGTGTATGTTCTCTTTCTTCTTTTCTCACGGAATAAGTGAAATTTGATATAAGGTAACCAGAAAGAGTACGCTGGTCATGTGCTCTATTTGTCATAGATACTAATGTAATTAGATTGTTTTGTTTCTTTAAGTAGTTTTCAGATAATTAACATGTCATAGCAGCTTCAATTGTTCTTGAATCTGTGGGTTACCAGATTCTTCTGTTGGAGATGGGACATACTTTCTCCAAGAATACACGATACCAAGAGGTTCAAGTTCTTTTTGTTTGTATGACACACGTAGTTTGTCTGATGATTTGACTGAAAATAAGAAAATGGTGAAGCAATGGATGACAAAGGGTGTTCGTCATGGGGAGCTAATAAAGAGGTCTGTATCATTGTTTTTTCCTTGAATTTCTTTAAACAAAACCTTACTTGGTGTACCTGGACTTTCTGAAATGCTCCCTTTGGCAGGGATTCTGATGACGCATATCTGAAATCTAAAATGAAGTCTAAAGACCAAAATAGTTCATGTGCCATTGAGGCCAAGGTGGTTAATTTTGTCATATTCGTTGTCAGTGCGGTCTCAATTTTTGAATTGATGGACAGTGATGATGAAACAAAGAGGCAAAAAGCCCAAGCTGTTGCTACAATTTTCAATGACCCTCTCTTGTCATTCAAAGGTATTAATTCACTTTCTTTTAACTTTATTATCAGTCTTTTAGCGCGGTAAGAGGAGTGTAGTTGATTGAACATTATAGGCATTTTGTGAGTACTAAGAAAATGTGTAGGTAGTAACAAAATTGTAGTTGTTCTCCTGGTATCAATTAATGTTGGTTGAAGCTTCCTTGATCAGAATAAGGGGGAGTTCATCTTGGATTTCCAAAATTAACATTGAAAGTAACAAGGAAAAAAATCCTTATTTCATCCAAAAACAAGTGTCAGATTGATGCTAAGTTTACCACATATTACAGCATTTAATCATCCCATTTTCTATTTCTCGTTGTTGGAGCATATTACGGCTCTTTTAATTTGCTTATTCTCGCCATCTCAGATGACAAGCCTGTTGTCGTGCTCACACAAGGTGATTTACTTTCTCTTTCTGATCGTACGCGAATCCGCATGTATTTGGGACATCTGCTGGGTATTCATCCGAAGAAACAAATTTTTGACATCCCAGGTGGCATCAAGATTAGTTAGCATGCTGTTACATGAATCTGTTTAAGTTGAACTGAACTATAATCTTTTTCCTCCCTTTTTTTTTCTCCTTTTGGTATTGTGTTTTCAGAAAGCGATGATTCAGGAACTAAGTTGACGATAGTTAACATGCTTCGTTACTGCCTCGAGCACGCTGATAAAAACTTACCTTTCAAAGGCCCATTTGGCAGCAAGGTGAGATTATTGTTAGAGGAACTTAACTCACATGGTTGATTCTTGTTTTAGGTAGTTTCACTTCTTTGTTAGGGACTTTTACAAAATTCATCTGTCTTTAAAGACAGGTTTAAACTCGTATGGTCTTACGTGCCATCATCTCCATGGACAGTCTTTCGGGAACAATCAATTTAGTTAAATAGTGAAGCAGTAATGCGTATTTTTGTGCAGTCGTTGATGTATGTTGGTCGCTTCCCCTTTTATGCTTCGTCTCTTGACTAGGGTCTAGGGTGTCACGTGTTCGGGTCAAATTTATGCGGGTTAAAATGGGTTTGAGTAAATAAAGGGTCATGTTCCAACCATTCAAATTTCATTTTTCCGTTTGTTTTATTTTTCGGCCTGTAGCTATACAGTAGAGTTGCTAAAAGTTATTCACTGTGCAATAAAATAAAAATGCGATATGCAAGAGCAATTAGCTTTTTTTATTCATCATTTCTACTTTTTGACAAAATGCTGTAACGGCTGATATTAATGTAGCCCAGGCTGTTGGAACATTGATTTGGGCTACTCCTATTTTGCCACTAGATGAATGTCACCCGCCTAGCCTGTTCTTAAGATCCAGTTATAAAATTGCTATTTCTAGTTCACAGTGCTACATTTGCGTGCAATATTCATTTTAGGTATAACATTCAGCTGTATTATGACATGGATGGAAAAAGTAAAATGCACGTATTCGTAGTTTTATGGATGATAATTGATTTGTGCTTGTTGAAACTTGTACCATACTCTGCATCTACATGTGCTCTTCAGTTTAAATTACTACCTATGGTGCAATTTTAAAACATGTTACATTTTCTCTTTTAGGATGTCTTGAAGATTCTTGGATCATTTCTACTGGGATTTGTGGTTCTATCAATACTTGCGGGAATAGTGATCAACCCGAGAAATTTGCTATCACATGTGAACATAGATTGTCATGCAAGTGGGGTTGATTCTGTTGGCCGCATTCACGATGAATCCCCCCAATCAGATGTAAACATAGATTGGGGTGCAATCCGACACTTATGGTCTGACTAAGTTTACTGATGAACTTGGATGTATGGAAATGGATGCATTTATCTATAGCTGTTACGTTACGAGAATGCATAACTTTTTAAATGTATAAACAGGGTAAGTTGTTTTGCTGTCCTTGTATATAGGAACTTTCAGCATCAATTCTCTTACTTGGAGGGATGACAATCTTTAGGAAATCTTCGTAAAGTTGATCATGACGAGTGTGAAGTTACTGTGCTGTTTTACCATTGTTGCACATGTGACTATTCAGCGTTAATTCTCAGTTAGAGAAGGGACATTCGTTTTGGCATTACATGTGTGTGTATGGCTTATCATTCGTTGGGTCAGCAAATAGAAGGAAACCGAAACTTAATTAATGATTTTTTAGACACAAAGTATGTTTTTAATGTTTTAAAAAAAAAGTCACAAAAATGAGTATTTTGCAGTACTATACTGCGAATCGGGTTAACGGAAATTTTGCCGTTAAAACAATTTGCAGTATCATATTGAAAAGTTTTTTTTTATTTTTTTAACAAAAACACAGCGTTTAATGTAATAGTTGCCTTAATTAAATAAGGCTATTCTTCTTCCATCTTCCCTGACATTTCAGCCCCCCTCCATTAAAAAACAAACTCAAGAATTCCTTTCTGTCCTCTACTCCCGTTTTATTTTGAAAAAAAAAAATTCGGGCCTACCCGTCCCATAAAGAGCAAGGCGTGTAGGTCCCACATATAAAAAAAGCTTTGGATACCGTGTTTCGAGTGCAAAAATTCAATTTCAACAATATTCAAAGAATTTACATCGAGGTATTTCAATTTAGTTTATGCCGAAACTCGTATAGTCATGCATATTAGTATTGTTTAGCATGTTTCCATGTGAATTTATGTTATGTTTGTGTTTAATTTTGTATCTTTTATATATCCGGATTGATTTATTTGATACCCAAATTTATATTATGTTTGTGACAAAAAATGCTACTTTATTGTTTGTGTTATATTTGATTTATATACCCGAATTTGAGACGCAATTAAGGATTATTTGGTGGTACCGGGCCTCAAAAATCAAGCCTGGAACCCATACATAACTATTATCTCCAATTACAAAAATTTATAATTTAATTTATTAAGTTAACAAAATTCTAAAAATGTTGAAATTGAGACGCATAATAATTAAGGATTATTCGGTGGTACCGGGCCTCAAAAATCAAGCCAGGAACCCATACATAACTATTATCTCCAATTAGTAAAATTTATAATTTAATTTATTGAGTTAACAAAATTCTAAAAATGTTGAAATTGAGACGCATAATAATTAAGGATTATTCGGTGGTACCGAGCCTCAAAAATCAAGCCTGGAACCCATACATAACTATTATCTCCAATTACAAAAATTTATAATTTAATTTATTAAGTTAACAAAATTCTGAAAATGTTGGAATTGAGACGCATAATAATTAAGGATTATTCGGTGGTACCAGGCCTCAAAAACCAAGTTTGGAACCCATACATAACTATTATCTCCAATTCAAAAATCATACTTAATTATTTAATTTATTACACTAACACAAACAATTAATTTTGTTTAAATTATAGTAGCCGACATGGCGTTTCCTCCGCCTGCGCATCGTGGATCTGCGGAGGATCAGCTACTAGTGCTGCAGGGCGACCATAGGTCCTCCTATGTTTGGGAGGGACAGTTATCGATGTAGGCTCTCCGCCCCAGGAGGCCTGATGATTTGTGGGAGTTTATTGCCGAGCATCCTTTCCATGAGCGCGTAGTAGAGAGCCTCCAGACTACGGGATTATATACCATTTTTGAGCTTGGACGGATGCAGCTTGATTGGTCACTCATCACGGCCTTGGTAGAGCGGTGGCGACCGGAGACGCATACATTTCACTTGCCCACTGGAGAGGCCACCATCACGCTGCAGGATGTCCAAGTTTTATACGGACTGCGCGTAGAGGGACGCGCCTTCGCACTGCCCCACCACCGGAGAGGGATGACTCGTGCACAGTTGGCGGACATGATGGGGCAGTTGACTGGTTCTAGACCTTAGGGTGACCGGGGTGGCAGTCGCGTGGCTTTGTCATTCATTAGAGATTAGATGGCGGATTTGCACCCAGATATTACCCACGAGACGGACCATCTTTGGATTCAGAGGTACACTCGGTTGGCGTTGCTCCTACTTTTCGGGTGTGTCTTGTTCCCGGACACTTCGGGGAGTAAAGTGAGTATGCGCTTTCTCCATTGTCTTGAGCATCTGGATGAGCTACCACAGTACAGCTGGGGTGCTACTGTTCTGGCCTATCTATATAGGAGCATGTGCCGGGCGAGCGTAGGTCCAGCAGTTGATATATGTGGTTTTCTGCCCCTCCTACAGGTGCAAAAAATTTTCGAATACATTGTTCGTTACCCCAAATTCTATATCGCGAAATGACTCATAAATTTACATCAACATTTTATCTTAGGTTTGGGCTTGACAGCGGATCATGCCGTTGCAACCACCTCTACCACTACTCCCGCCCGGTGAGGATTATCCGCTTCTCCCTCTAGCTATCAGGTGGATTCTCCGGCGTGGGACCTACCGAGGGATGGATGCTCATCATAATCTCCCCCTTCTTAGGGATGTGTTAGATATGTTGGTGGACGGACAGGTAAATATGTACCTACACTTGGTTGTTTTAAATTGAGTTGTGTTTTGCGTACTCATTTTTTTGTTACTATTGGTAGTTCATCTGGACGCCATACAACATCGAGTTGCTTGGTCAGCTACCCGCTTGTTGCTCAGTCGACCGGCTGATTTGGAGCACCTCCGTCCCGTTGATCTTCTGGGATTACGTTGAGTATCATGCCACGGAGCGTGTGCTTCGACAGTTTGGCCATCCTCAGCCTATACCGAGGGAGCCTGGATGGGAGTCTACACACTATCAGCGGGACGACCATTCGAACATGGACCGGCAGTATATTGGATAGCTACAGCAGCAGATAGCTTATTGGGAGGACCGAACTGAGCGCATTCCGCTACCACCTACAGTTTTCCAGGAGGCCTCTATCCATCTGTATGCTGGGTGGTACCGCCGTCATACCCGAATGATGATCGGGAACCCTGTTCATGTACTTGGCGAGCGCTACAGACCGTACGCCGGGAGGCACGAGGCACTGGTATGTTTTTGTGACTTATTAATATCTTATAATTGTGTTATAGCGTTATTTAATTACTATTTTAAATGTTTCACAGGCTATTGGGCTTCATCGCATCTACCAGTCGGGAAGGAGATGCAGCAGCGTTCGGACATCCCTGAAGTGGTTGAGTATGGCCGGGAGGTGGCTCAGATGGTTCGTCTGACACTGTTGCAGGCGAGAGATGTCGAGATGTTAGACCATGAGCCTCAGTATGTGGCTCCAGAGGCCTACCAGCGGGGTAGGCCAGTCTCACGAGCCAAGGGTAGGGCACCAGCGAGGGGTCCCCCACCAGGCAGGGGTGCCCCACGGGGTCGCAGGGGACGGCGAGGAGGTGGTCAGCAAGGGGGCGTTGAGGTACCTGTCGACCCACCTGTCGATGGACATGACGCGGAGTTTGGAGTTGGGGGCTTTGGAGATGATCAGCAGGGTTATATCCCTCATGCAGATGAGCCTTCCAGCAGCATGCCTTCATATAGCCTTCAGCTATCTTTGCCAGCATCGCAGGTCACCCCGTCAGGAGCATTGTCGATCATGGGTACATTCGACGGGGATGTAGATCAGTACTTCACATGCCCATCTACCGCAGCTGAGGATCGGCCGGCCTGGGACGTGGATGGCGGGCGTAGGTTGAGTTATCCATCGTCCCCGGCATTTCACGCGGATCTACCACAGGCGGCGGTATGTTTGTATTACTTTAATATTTCAATTTGTTTTCTTTTCCTTAAATCGCTGCAAATAATTAATTGTTACTTTCTTATGCAGTCTTCGTCCCAACCCATCTTTGAGGATACTACATGCGGTGATGAGCACACCATCGATACATATATCCAGGAGGTCGACGAGACCATGGTGAGAAAATGTTTTCTTACTTAAAATAATAGTGCATTCTGTAGGTTAAGATAATAATACATTTTCATAAAATAATACATTTACACATGCTAAGATTACTTCTTGTTTTGTAGGTTGCTGACGGCACGACGGCCTATTCTTCCGACCCTGACAGTTGTGGTGTTGATGCTGCTGTACATCCTCACATAAAGAGGCGGCTTGATGATGATGATCCAGATAGTGTGCCCGAGCGACAGGGCATGCGACTTAGGCCAGCAGCATCACTGAAGCACACAGGCTGCGGCACACACTGATTTTCTTATGTATTAACTTTCTGTAAATAGTGCTTTATGTAAATAATAGTAACAACTATCTTTTAACAACAATTTGAACCTAATGGACACTTCCAAAAATGGAATCAAGACAAGGGAAATCAAGTCCACATCCAAGTTGAAGTGATTCTCATTGAATGTGTCCATTTCACATCTGTGCTCGCTAATAAATTTACCCACTTTCCACAAACCTGATTTCTTCTTTGTGGCACGCAACATCCAGTGACAACCCATAAACCACCTACGGCATACAACCTTGTATTTCTCCGTAGTTGACTCACTTACCGTCATCTCACGACACTCTCTTATACTGTAGATTTTTACAGCCCTAATTAGGCGAGCTTTATCGGGGAAATACATGCCCTTTGTAAGAACAGCTGGTCTAGATTCATCCCACATCACTGACCGTAATTCATCATCATCCCTTGTGAGGGCATCGACGTTAGGCATGCTTGGCAAATTATCAAGGTAGGGAATATTTCGCTCATGAAATGGCACGTGGGACTCATACACTCTTGGTCTAGCGGGAGGTGGAGGAACATGCTCCCTGGTCAGCTCAGGTTCAACATTCACTTCCTCCTCCTCATCATCCCCCTCATCATGGAAGGGTGTGTCATCCCCAGACTCATCCGTATTGTTGTCATAATCACTATCATCCTCCTGACTCTGCGCATCTGCCAAATCACGAGTAAAAACGTCGTCTATGGGCAACTGTGTGAGGCCAGGAGCTTCAAGAAGCTCGTTTTCACTGCACAAAAAGAACAAATACATAAGTTACCCAATACTCAGGAAAAATACTTTAGATATCGCTATATCACTTTACTTACAAATCGTATTGTCTTGACGTTTCATGATGGATATTTTCATGTTGGTGATAACTACCAGATGGACCACCGTGGTCCATTACTCAAGACCTGCCCATATTCCAACTAGGGGCTTGGTCATAACTTGTAAAATTCAAATCCGGACGATACCCCCTATAAAAAATATGAGTGTTAATACAAATCCAATTAAAACATGAAAAAAAAATTTGCTAAAACGTAGTAAAATTGAAGTTTACCAGTCGTCTTGTTGATTATATAAAGTGGAAACATTATTTCGTGGCTGCTCATTCGCCTGTGGTGACAAGTTTAAATCAAGGCAAGCTCTTTTATCTGTAATCTGTCCGGCAAAAGCTGCTCCAGAATAACCACCCGATGACTGGGGGTTATCCCTGCTATGCACGCCCTCATTACTAGGAAGGTCCTCCACCTTCACGTACATTTCCAATAATTTTATTACAATAAATTCCCTGTATTCGTCCGGAATCCGCAAAAAATCTCTAAGAGTTTCATCATCCTCGATGTTAAACTCAGAATAATAAGCAAACCCCTGCGGAGTCACTGAATAAGGAAATCTACCGGTTACTTTAAGGCTAACCGAACGCCTCCGCTCACTCATTTTTTTACGTAACAACGATACCAATGTATCGTACTCCATATTAAGCGGCAATTTAACATGACACTGTGGAGGTGAGCTATACCTCACAGAGTTATTCTCCACCACAACCTCATCCCCCCAATACAGTGAAACCCTTATTTTTGGCACTTCAGACATTGTAAAAAATTGATTGATAAGGAGAAGAGAGAATAATGAACGTATGTTTGAAGTTTAAGTGTTGAATGAATTTTTATAAAATTGAAACGTCTATAAATAAGGCAAGTCCGAGCTTGGGGTGTACAATTTTTCAAAGTAATTCGCAGTATTATACTGCGTTTTACGTATTTGAATTATTGTTATGTCAATTAATTATTGGTGGGGCCCATCTCAAGCGATTCGCAGTATTATACCGCGAATTGCATAAAAAAAATTATTTTTTTAATATTTCGCAGTATGATACTGCGAATTGTTTTAACGGCAAAATTTCCGTTAACCCGATTCGCAGTATAATACTGCGAAGTACTCATTAATGTAACTTTTTTTTAAAACATTAAAAAAGTGTTTTTTGTACAAAAAATCATTAATTAAGTTTCGGACTCCTCAATTTAGTCTAGTGTGCTACTTCACTTCCAAAAGCACTCGACTTTCTCATACATTTGGTTTATTTGTCCAAATACTATTACAAACTTGAGTTGCTCATGTTTTACCATTTTTGAGGCATTTCCTATAATTAAGTCCAGTACGATTAGTAGATTTACAAATTAGTACTAATATAATTGAGTAATCGATCAAATCATTGGTGAAAGTGGTTTCTTAAAATTCAAAACTACATACTATAAATAGTAAATATAAGGGGTTGCGTATGGTAGGGAATTCTTATTTCATACCTAGTAGAAAGTAAGTACAGAACATCTGAATAAACATTAATGCATGGCATATAATGGAAAAATCTGGCAAGGTTCTGATGCATGTATCCTTTTTCTCTTTCAACATGTGATTTTTGTTTTTTTTGGTAATAACATGTGATTTTTTTTACTCTTATATAAATTAAAAATATATACTTACGTGTGGCTGGCCAGGAATTCTTCTTTTATGAGTCATCCAATAAAGTTTGTTGATAGATAATAAATATTATATTAGATGTACAATACTTGTCTTATGTTCGTACCCTAACTTTGGAAAGTAGAATGGATCATGTTCAAAAATTGGATTGAATTAATTACACAGGTCAGCGGCAGATAAAATATGCCTAAAATAGTGCAGTACAATTTTGTTAGATAATATACTCAAAGAAACAACTCAAAGTATGGGTGTTCAAAAAAACCCGAAAAACCGAATCAAACCAACCAAAAAAATCGATACTTTTTAGGTTTGGTTTGGTTTTAGTTTTGAATTTTAAAAATCGATAGTTTTTAGGTTTGGTTTGGTTTTAATCAAAAAATAATCGAAAAAAAATCGAACCAAACTGACGATAAAAGTAGCTATTTAAATTTATTATTACACCTATATATGTGTATATTTTTTCACGACCCAAACCGATGGGCCGCGACGGGCACCTGGTAGCTTACTCAACGGAGTACCTACGTAACGTATCTTTCGTATCATACTATCATAGGTAAATGAGCCAGAGATGCTGTCGTGAGATAAGTGCAATAAAACATGGAGAAATACTCGACATTGGACGATCCAACATGTAGTCCAAACTTATACATATGACGTACGGGCCTAAAAGGAAAAAATAACCACTCGTATACTGAACATAGACCGACAAGGCCATACAATCTTATACGTATATGACATCTGTCTACAAGCCTCTAAGAATACATAATTTTCACAAAGATCGGGACAGAGTCCCACCATACCAAACATTACACGTCTAAATCATACTAACCAAACAAGCAACTCCGAAGCAAATGGAGCGCACCAACATCTTCCGCTGAGCTGATTGCCTACTTGAAGGGCTCTCTACATGTTTATTGGGACCTGCGGGCATGAAACACAAGGTCCCCAGGCAAAAGGGACGTCAGTACGAAAAATATACTGAGTATGTAAGGCATGAAAATCTATACGTAGAGATATAGATGAAACATGAAATCCATCTGTAATCTGAAAAACTTTATAAATCCCGAAATATTTATAATGTCATGCATATGCATATAAATGTCATGTAATGCATGGGTCTGTACGTACATAACATCATCAAGCCTCTGAGGGCATCCCATCATATCATCTCGGCCATTTTGGGCAAATCATCAACGTATACCAGCTGACTAGGAGGTGATGCGTATATAACGTCGTAACATTTTTCCATATCTCATATACATATATTTACATATATACGCGTATATAACGTCATCTGGTCATGGGTCAATGCACATGTATAAATGGGTGAAATGCATGAAAAATACGTAATAATCTCAATATTCCTTCCGGATAAACTTTTTCAACTGCGTATTATTCTGAGACACATGAATAGAAGATAATAATAATTCACATGGGCAATCAAGAATATAGACACCCCGAGTATTTCTATGAATAGAGTAATTTATTAAAACTGTGCGTTTGCTCGTTTCTTCTGCATAATTTGGACCATGCTAAAAGAAAGAAGGGATGACCTTAACATACCTGGAGTAGGAAAAACTCCGTATAATATTCCGTTGGAAAACCTTCATTGATTGAATTTAGAACTCAAAAAAAAAAATCGGATTAAGCTTCTGCTTTTTTTTTTTTTTTTGAAATCCTTGAACGAAATTTGCTCCTGCTTCTTTGAAATTCATGAACGAAATTTTGCTTTTGATCCTTTGAAATTTTGGAACGAAATTGCTTCTGATTCTATGAAGCTTTTTGGAACGATAGGTTAGCTTCTGCTTAACGTTTCTGAATTGAGAAAGAACGTTTTTGAACTTTGAAAGCATTGATATCTGATTCTTGTTAAGGACGTTTGATTCTTTCCAAATGAAAATGGAGACTAGACTTGATATATGATTCTTATGTTCTGATTTTTGTCCAAATGAAAGATGGAAACAAGACTTGTAACAAGTCTTTATTAAATTCCTATTATCCTTATCTAGCCACCTAAGCTCAATTGTAAGAGTCATGTATACATAGAGATAGTGGGCTGCCACGTGGGGTGGGGTGGGAAATATTAGTCATTATCCACTTATTTGGTAATTAGGTAATGTCCCGTTACCCGGTAATTACCCATATAATTAAGAATTATCTCAAATTACTTAAAATTTTACTTAGTTTTAATATACTTTGTATATACTTTGTACATTATACTATCGTGGTCATATATTACCTTGCATGGTACTAGTTCATAATTATCGGGTATTATCGCTCAACCCGTATTTTATCCCAAAATTGGTCACTTCCAACGAAACTCGTTTTCTTTAATTCGTATACCCTTTATCCTTCATGACATTTTCTTATTGCTTGTTATAAATAGTATAAATACGTTAACGTCAAGATGATCTCATTCCCGAGTCTACGTCAATTAACTGAAGACGAAACTTTTAACATACGAAAATGCGGGACGTAACATCTCGCTTCCGAGCTCTCATTCATTGATTTACTTATGGCGTATATTCATGTACGAAAATATGGGGTCTAACATCATTCCCCCCTTTGGAACATTCGTCCTCGAATGTTGACTGATGCGCTTATCATTCTCATATCCCATAGCTCTTGCGAATACTTTAGTACTCCTCTTTCCATCTAGGCAACTGTTCTGCGAATAAGTCCAAAGGCCAGGGCATTCCCCTCTTTAGTCCTCTTTCTCATACCACGACTTGTGGTCAAAATCTTTCCAATCTCGTAACTGTTGCTATCTTCTGTCATGCAGCCTGTATGACTCTGACCTTGTAAGTGCGCCTATGCGACTATTCTTTCCTCTCTCTGTTTCTCTCTTCTTCTTTTTTTGCTCTATCTCCTAGCCAATCTCTAGACCTCACTTTGCAAACACATACAGAGCTTGATAAAATGTTCCTCCGGGCATTTGTAGGTATACTAAAGTTCTTTTCTCGGTGCTTCGTTGAAGTTACGAATATTGCTACATCTTGTTTCATAGACCTGGTTATCCATTCCTGTGATTTTACTGCATCTATGTAGGTCATACTATACCATAACTCTTACCTCGATTTCTCGTTACTGAGGCATGCTATCAAATTCCAGGTTATTTTTATTACTTATCCCATACGTATAAATCTATATCCTCTAATGCTTCCACATTATTGTTCATCTTAAGAATGCCAGCCTAATCTCCTCTCATATTTATATTACTTGCAACCTTCCAACTTGCTTGCATCATAGATTTCCTTATGTCATTTTGGATCGTCAAGCGAGGCATCACATCGTCTCTAACTTTTTTTCATTGTCTTAGTCAGGCTTTGCGATACCTAGACCATAGGCTGGAAGATATGCTACTGACGATGCCGCTATTATTCCTAGATACTGAATCCTCGTGCTTCTAGCCTTTTATTCGAGGAATGGACTATTCACGATCTTCTGCCTTTGAGTATCTCATACGTTGCTTACCTTTGCCTTAAAATCTCGCATCATATCTTCTATCTCTTTCATACCTCCCTTCCACATAGGTATAATTCACATCCATAACTTGAAGCTCTTATTATAACATTGTGCGTACACAATGCGGTGGGAGCTTCGCGCTGACTTCTTATGAGGCATGTACTTTTCCAACTAGCTTTATCGTAGGGCTGTTATAGAATATGGTTGTTGTACTTCCTCTCTTGTACCTCTGATGTTAAGAGTGATCCTGCAATGTTCTTAATCACGATTTCTACAATTTCGGGTCAATAATCGGATTCCTGATTTACTTTGTTGATGTAACTCTTTAGTTTCCTCCTTCTTCTGATCGGCCTTTATGTTGGCTTAAGTTATCTTCCAATCTGCGGCTCATCGTATTAGTTATTACTTTAGCCCTCCATGGACGCTATGGAATATCCATGATACAATCTTCTAACAATTCATTCGTTTGTTTATAACCTGGGCTCAATTCTTTCTTTTAACTTATACCTGAATCTTCTACGGCTGTATGATTGTCAACATATATGCTTCATGAATAATACTCCAAACTCTTAAGTGTGTTCATAACGTAACCAACTCTGGATAATTGATCGAATGATTCTTTCGTTCCTTCTTAGTTTTCTTTAAACGTAAGCCATAACCTTTTCTGGTCTTTCTTCCCCCTTGTTGGGTGCATACTTAGCTTATCTTAGCTCTCACGCATGCTAGAATTTTCGTACAACTAACATGATCTTCGAATATTGCTTTTGATTTTTCTTCCCGTTCACTAGCCATGGTAGGTTCCTCTTTCTTATGGAGGAAGTATAATGTTGTTGTGAAACTGTTGTTACAAGACCATTTCCTCTTCAAGTCATGGTGCTTATGAACCTTCTTCCTCATTTCCTCAGCTAGTCTTTCACTGTAGTACTTAGGGAGGACCCTCTGACTCTTGTAAAGCTGTGAGCTTATTACATTGTATACCCAATAAAACTGTTGATGTCCTTCCTCGCCTACAATTATCTGTAGCTACTTAATTACCACCTTACCCTTGCGTTTGTAGGGTTGCTTCTGAACTGATATTTGACTGTCTTCTCAGTGGCACTTTCTTTTATCTCCGTCACACTCATACGGTACCTTTAACTACCCCTACTCTTATTTGAATATATCTCAAGTATTATAATGACATGACAGCGAGGCTGAATTCTCCATGTTGGGTTTTACTACATTTATCTTGCACGATCTGCTGACTCGTCTTTAACCTCCTGTTTATCTGTAACTAGGCTCTTCCCGAACCAATTACTAATTACTCATTGGCCCGTTCTTATATCAATGTTTCTTGTAATCATTATTTCCTTTATCTTAACTTACGTCTCGCACTGGCTCTTTATCTATCAATAACATCTCGGCAGGGACGCTTACTTCCTTTCCTTGACGTTGTGTTTGCATAATATTTTGGAATCGTAGTATATCTGTAGGCTTTGAATAAGTGCAATCTCATTTTTATCACATTCTTTCTTTACCATTCCATAATTACTAGAATCACTTGATTCTTACTTAACACCACATCACACCATATTCCCCCCTTTAGCGGAGTACTGAGAGTTGGAGCTACGACAACCTACCTATAGATGTTTTACCTCTTCATCTTTGGCGTCCTTTCATATCATCGATGACCCTTACACGCCTTGCGGTAATCCTTTTATATCGAGGATAACAAAATTCCTTACTTGCGATGGTGATACTTAGTGTAACTAAAACATACAGTCCCTTGAGCTTAACTTTGCTCATATTGCTTGCTTTAGGGAAGCGTCTTCTTGAATGTCCATTCTCCAATTTTCTCTTGAATCTTCTTCTGTTGTCCATTCTACTATCGCCGGAACGAAATATGAAATTCTCATGATGCCGACTATTATCAAATCACTCAGTCCCTAATTCATGTTTTGTTAATCTTGTTCACCTATCCATACTGGCTTCTAGAACTCTGGGGTCTAACTTTTCCTTTTGGCAATCGCATCAGAGTTGCGAACTTATTTCTCGAAATGAGGATATAACTTTATAGCCTATATTCTCAAGGCCAGTCACCTCTCGTTTCTTTCTTCACTTGACTATAGATTCTGGAATACTGTCATCTTTTGATCTACCGTTTATCATTCATGTATCACATCTTACTCATAATGCTTCCTTATCTCTCTATTCTTATTTTTCTGCTAATATTTCTGTCTATCCTTTTCTTTTGACATCTTCAACAAGACATTCTTTCACTTTTTACCTTCCCTTGCTCCATCTACTGGCTCTTCGGGCAGCCTAACATTCTCCCTCTACTAAGAACAGGAGCCATACTAAGGTAATATTTACCCCTTCAAGGTTTCCAGTTCCTATCTTTATAGTACTCATATCTAGCTGTACTATTTTAGAGTGTGCCATCTGGGTGTCTCACAAGGAGATCTATTAGTACATTTGCAATATCCTTCAGAAATATCGACCAACACAAACGGTCAATTCACCATTTTGGGTTACTCTAACCCCAGCTGGATTGTGATATTATGTCCTTCTCTTAAACCATATTTGTTATCTCCCATAGAGCATAACGCAGATCGGGGTGGCCAATTATACATACCTCTGTTACTGTTGAAGGTAACTCAAAATACTTATATCTCTCTTCCTGAATGGTAAATAAGAATATTCTTTATTAACTGGGTACCTCGTACCCTTCTTCATCTTGCTTCTTTTACTTGCTGCAACTCGTGCCTAACTTTTGACTCTGTTATTCCTTTTTACCGTAAGACTGAATAAGTATTCTTTCCTAAAAGCTCCTTATCAAGAACCGTACACCTTTTACTATACGCATGATCTGCTGAAGACCTCTCATTTACCCATCATAAGCAAAACGCAAAAATCGAGTTCCTCTAACTCAACACTTTCACAGCTATATCTCTTATCGATCGTCTTTCTGAATGTAGGCATCGTCTTATTACGAATAGAAGTTCGGGATTTAAATTCTTATAAGTGAGCTCTACCACACGATCTAGAGTAAGAAGAAAGAGTGACAGTCTTAAATGCCTTGTAGCATCCTGCTTATAAGTGTGGTGCACAACACACCCATAAACAAGGCTCTACTAGACACGACTTGTAGACTCCCTAGGACAGAACTGCTCTGATACCACTTTTGTCACGACCCAAACCGATGGGCCGCGACGGGCATCCGGTACCTTACTCAACCGAGTACCTATGTAACGTATCTTTCGTATCACACTATCATAGGTAAATGAGCCAGAGAGGCTGTTGTGAGATAAGTACAATAAAACATGGAGAAATACTCGACATTGGACGATCCAACATGTAGTCCAAACTTATACATATGACGTACGGGCCTATAAGGAAAAAATAACCACTCGTATACTGAACATAGCCCGACAAGGCCATACAATCTTTTACGTACATCACATATGTCTACAAGCCTCAAAGAATACATAATTTTCACAAAGATCGGGACAAAGTCCCGCCATACCAAACGATACA